ATCCCATGGTCTGTACCCTACCCATAATCTCACCTTTAAATTACCCCAAAAGTTATACTCACATGAGCTGGGTCAGGTGATCTCAGTTCTGCTCCCTCCTTCCCCAGACAGAGATGGCAAGTTCCTCTGCCCAGGATTCTCACTCTATAAGTCAGCAAATACTTCAGACTCCTTCAGGAGACCTGGGTCTCCTAGCAGACTCTGTCATCCATGACTTAATGAAGCAGGCTTTCCAAGGACCTGGGATTCCCCTTTGTCAGGCTGGGCAAAAGTCTGGCCAAGTTTGAAAGAGATTCTAAGGCTTAGGCCTGACAGAGGGCTTCTCTGCTATAGAGCCAAATTTGCAACCTCAAGACATTTCTCTCCTATTTCCCATGCCCTGAGTCTCTGTCTCCCATTCCCTAAACACATTACACTAAAGATCATTTTAAAGAGCAAATGGGATGTCAAATAAGCTTTTTGGAAAATGTTTTCCTATGGTTGCTCTGAAGTCTAAGAGTATATTTTTCATTTTATTTTTAATGCATACTTAAAAGGATTGTAATGAAACTATAATGAAGAATGAAAGTGCCTGACTTCTATAAGCCTAAGAGGGTGTTTCTTCCATGAGCTTAAGAGGGTTTCACTATTCCATACATGGTAGTATTTCAGCGCTTATACTTTGCCTGAAATAAGGGAAATTTATAAGGATAAATCCAATATAAAAATAGTAATTAATGATGTTTTACCCAGATAGGAATTCTGAGACCTATTGTTATTTCTTCTTTTCTTTATAATAAGACTTCTCATAAATGAAATGATCATAATTTTTAACTAGTGAAAGAATTATGGAGCCCTGGGAGGCGCAGATGCTAAATATAAGGAAATAGGGATAGAGGAGAGATAGAAAGGTTGAAATGAAGACATCTACAGATGCCAGGGAGACAAACAACTTGGATCCCAAAGGCAGATATAAGAAGCAAGGGAGAGACAGATGCTCAGCAATGCTAGGACTCAAGTCTATTTTTTCTTAAAATCATTGATGTATTGGAGGATGTGCTTATTTGAAAAATAACTTTTAGGAGAAAACTAAATAGTATATAGATGCATTTTTTATATAGATGCAGCTTCATTCAGCAACGTGACCATCACACCCTAAATAATATTTTTAAGAACATCATCCTTCATTTTAGCTTATGATAATCTCCTTTTAAGCCTTACTAATAAGCCTTAAGGATACCCCATTTAAATTTTAGCTTAAGCATCAGAATTCTACATGTGCTTTGAGATTACAAGCACATCACATACTGATGGTATACGTTACTTATCACCCCATTATAGAAAGAAGAAAAACAAATTGACAAATCCAATTTGCATGTGTGTGTGTGTGTGTGTGTGTGTAATTCAAATTCAGGAAGTTCTGGTTTTAGCTACCTTCAAGGCTTTCAAGACCATTTGAAACTTGACCTGTGGTGCTTGTTCCAGAAAAATAAGCAAAGTAAAATAATACAGGTAACTCTTTAAGGATCTATCAAAGGGCTGGGGTTAAAGGAGGAGGAGGAGGAAGGGAAAATAATGTTAACAGATTATATCTGTCCTGAGTTACCTCCTGGAATTTAAGTTAAGCAGCTGGAACCCATTTTGTCCATTCTCTCACACTGCAGACAAATGTATTGCCAGTGAAGATAGACCACAAATGGCTTGCATTTTATTTCTCTTAAAAACCTAGAACAGTCAGCCCTTCCTACTGAGACAGGACTTTTCATCTGGGTAAAAATATATAAGGGCTCTCAAAAGAGAAATACTGGATTTCTCAGTCAGAAGCGTTCTTTGTGCTAGACAGTATGGAGAAAATGTCAGTTTAACAGTGGTTTGAAAAATGTCAAAACTCCTGTGTTTCACTCATTTTGAGATATCATGCAAGTAACCTTTCTAATTTTATTTTTGACTATTTCTGATTTTCTTTCTTTTTTTTTTTAAATCAAAGAGCTTATCCTTGATTAAGTAGAAATTTGAAAGCTTCCTAAATGAACTTAGGAACAATTTTTCTTTTAGGCACAAAATTATTTAGCCTTTGGAGCTGTATGAATATCTATTTCATCAATTATTTAGCCAATCAATAAATTTTTATTGAGTTCATTTTAATTGTCAGGTTCATTTCAATTGCTAGACTCTGGGTATTCAAAAAAGACACTGCCTTTCTCCCTCCTTATAGACAGCAAATAAACAAAAAAATATATAGTTACTCATGCTGATAATTGCCAGCAAGGAACAAATGAGTTACTCTAAAAAGACAGCCTCTCTTAGATAAGATGATCAGAGAAGACCTTTATGAGAACATTGTATTTAAGATAAGATCTAAACAAAGAGAAGCCAGCCATATCAAGCAGAGGTTTTAAAAATTACCATTTCTGGAGAGAAGGTCCCAAGGGATAAAATTTTATACAGTTTCCAAATGTTCCTGAAGAGGTCAAGAGAAAATGTATTTAGATTTCTTTTTCCTGTTTTCTTTTTCTGAAATTTGTTGTTTGGATATAGGAGATCCTAGACTGATATTCCATTTTTTCATCTACTATTTTGCTTTACTTTTTGGCAGACTTTTTAAACTTTATTTTCCAAAATTCTGTTAAGTCTTTATTTCTGCTCTCTTGTTTAAATTTCCAAAAGCACTTTCTTATTTTCTGGTTGCCCACTGTTTGTCATACTATTCTTGCTTCATGGATGCTATATCTTCTCTTATCTCTTGGAAGAGGTTGAGGACATTACCTTGAAGTTTTCATCTTCCTGCATAGAACGCTGTCTTAGTCTCTCCCTCCCTCTTTCTTCTTTTTCAGTTTGTTTTGGTCTCTTTGTTTCCTGTAAGAAGCTTGATGGCACTTGGCTGACTGCATATTTAAGAATGGGGTCCAAACAAGCTGATTACGCAATGGGAGGAGAGATCAGGCCAAGCTCCATCACTGGAGGATTCATAGGTCTTTTCTCTTGTATTGGTTAGACTTCTCAGAGACAACCTCTTCCTTTCTGCCAGGAGGATATATGTCTGGTTGCCACACTCGGAGTTAAGTTACGGAAAAGAGCTGGATGTCTTTTCATGCAGTATATAAACTTTTATTTAATCCCTCAGCTATGACTGACGCCACCTCAGGGCTCTCTTTTACCTTTCCAGAGAACAAGGGTATGTTTTCTACCTGGATTGATAAAGACACAGTTGCTTAGCTGGGTAGAGAAGAACAGGGGATGGGGGGAATCTAACTGCTTCCTACTCAGATTTCTAATAGGTCACCTTGTTTTATTTAGCCTTACTATTCCCCTTGTTTCCCAGTGGCAACTAGTGACACCAATTCCTGAGCCTTTCTACAAATCAAGTTGGTGGTTTTCTCCTTTAGCTCAGTCCAGGCCAAGCAGTCAAATATCTCAGGTCTTCTATCAACTATTGGTTGTCCATTTGCTTTTCAGTTTCCAAATTTTGCTGCTATAAATTTCCCCATTAAAATATCTAATTTCAGTCTTTTTCATGGAGCTTCAAGATCAAGCTGAACTACTTGTATGTATTAATCTGTGGTGTTTTTATCCAGAAATTCTGTATATTCTTTAATTTTTAAAATTTCTTGTTATGCACTCTATGTGCTAAAATGTCTTTTTTCACTTACTGAGAGTGGAAATCTTAATTCTCATCTCTCTTGACCTCTTCATAGAAGTCAACACTATTGTCCACCTCCTACTTTATGAAACTCTCTTCTTCAACTCTGGACACTATACTCTCCTGTCTTTCTTCCCACCTTTCTTCCCATTCCATCTCAGACACGCTTGCTAGCTCTTTCCCCTCTACTCACCATCAAAGCTGAAGTTCCTTAAAGCTCAGTGTTAGGTTCCCTCTTCTCTTTACTTTATAGTCTCTCTTCAGATGACATATCACTCAAGTTCTTTGCCTAAGCACTAACAGTTCACATATTGTATACCTCCAGTCTAGACTTCATTTCTCAGGTCTAGACCTATGTATCCAATGGCTTATTTGACTTTCCTTAGATGTCTCAAATGTAGTTTAGACCCAATGTGTCTAAAAAATAACTTATGATCTTATCTCATTAAACTTGGCCCTCTTTTAGCATTCTTTGTCTAGATAGTGCCACTGTCCAGGAACACAAACTGAAAACTAAGATTCATTCTTGACAATTCCTTCCCTCCCAGTCCGCATATTCAATCCTTCTCCAAATTCTATTGACGGGATCTCAAATATATGTGCAATTCACTTACGTTTCTCCATTTGTTCTGCCAGTACTGCCAAACTACCAACATCTCTCAGCTGGATTAGTAAACTAGCCTCCTACTCATCTTCTTAATTCTGTTCTTCCACATTCTCCACCCTAATCCCAAGCTAATTCTTACACAGTCTTTTCAAAAGACTACATGAGTTTTCATACCTCTGCTTAAAATGGCTAATTTATTTGCATTAAGGATACAAGTCTAAATCTTTAGGTTTACCAGCAACATTGTGAAAGATGTGACCCCTCCCTACAACACCAGTTTTACCTCACACATTGCCACTCTTGGATTTTCTGTATTTTAGCCTTATTGGACATCTTCAATTCCTAGAATGCCCTGTGTCCCTCCTGAAAGAGGGCATTTGTACCTGATGTTACTTGTATCTGGTTCTCCTTGGCCTAGCTATAACTATTTCTTTTAATTCAAATTGCTTAGATGTCATCTCCTGCAGCACGAATAAGGTATTCTATCTTGTAATTCTCTCTGTTGTGCTATGTTGTAATCACTTGTATACACACTTATCTCCCCATCAGAATAAGAGCCATTTGAACAGCTCTTTGTATCCTTAGCATGAAGCACAGTATCTAGAATCTGGTAAGTTTTTTGTAATTGTATTGTGAATGAATAAAAAAGCTCATTTATATCAAAAAAATAAATTATCAGTGATTAAAACAAATCTGTACTTCCATGATACATTAGGAACTAGTTATGATTTTCAAGAGAAAGATATTTTATAGATAATAATCAAATTTCCTTACTTTTTTTGTTTTTCCCATTGCCTTCAGGATGGAAAGATTTAAATCTTCAAGTGCTGTTAGTACATTCTCATACTCGCCCAAATGCTGAGAAAAATATTCTGAAAAGTAAAAATATTGAAATAAATACTTGTTTGCCTTTAGGTAATGATAAAACAAAATATCAACTGAAGATTTACACAATAAATGAGTAAAACAAATGGATAAAACTGACAAATTTTCAGATGAGACTAACTAAAGTGTCAATATACTTTCATTAAAAAAGAAAAAATCCTGGAGGGTTACCATTATTCTTCTTATCTTACAAAAAATAGGGAAAAAATGAAGCTGGATTTACATACACAACTGCTTCAATAAAAAGTTGTTCCCGAGAGACCTTCAAGATGGCAGAGGAGTAAGACGTGGAGACCACCTTCCTCCACACAAATACATCAAAAGTACATGTACATGTGGAACAACTCCTACACAACACCTACTGAACGCTGGCAGAAGACTTCAGACTTCCCAAAATGCAAAAAACTCCCCATGTACCTGGGTAGGGCAAAAGAAAAAACAGAGACAAAAGAATAGGAATGGGACCTACACCTCTGGGAGGGAGCTGTGAAGGAGGAAAAGTTTCCACACACTAGGAAGCCCCTTCATGGGCAGAGTTGGGGGTGGGGGAGAAGCTTTGGAGCCACAGAGGAGAGCACAGCAATAGGGGTGCAGAGGGCAAAATGGAGAGATTCCCGCACAGAAGATCAGTGCCGACCAACACTCACCAGCCTGAGAAACTTGTCTGCTCACCCACCGGGGCGGGTGGGGGCTGGGAGCTGAGGCTCCAGCTTCGGAGGTCAGATCCCAGGGAGAGGACTGGGGTTGGCTGTGTGAACACAGCCTGAAGGGGGCTAGTGCACCACAGCTAGCTGGGACGGATTCCAGGAAGAAGTCTGAAACTGCCTAAGAAGGAAGAGACCATTGTTTCAGGGTGCGTGAGGAGAGGGGATTCAGAGCACGGACTAAATGAGTTCCAGAGACTATCTCTGGAGTGCGAGCCGCGGCTATCAGTGCAGACCCCAGAGATGGATATGAAATGCTAAAGCTTCTGCTGCAGCCACCAAGAAGCCTGGGTGCAAGCACAGGTCACTATCCACACCTCCCCTCCCAGGAGCTTGTGCAGCCTGCCACTGCCAGGGTCCCATGATCCAGGGACAATTTCCTTGGGAGAACACATGGCATGCCTCAGGCTCTTGCAACATCACGCCAGCCTCTGAGACCACAGGTTCACCCCACAGTCCATACCCCTCCTTCCCACCCCAGCCTGAGTGAGCCAGAGCCCCTTAATCAGAGGCTCCTTTAACCCCATCCTCTCTGAGTGAAGAACAGATGCCCTCAGGCGACCTCCACACAGAGACGGGGCCAAATCCAAAGCTGAACACCAGGAGCTGTTCGAACAAAGAAGAGAAAGGGAAATCTCTCCCAGCAGCCTCAGGAGCAGTGGATGAAATCTCCACAGTTAATGTGATGTACCCTGCATCTCTGGAATACCTGAATAGACAATGAGTCACCCCAAAATTAAGGCAGTGGACTTTGGGAGCAACTGTAGACTTGGGGTTTTCTTTCCATCTCTAAATTTTTTCTGGTTTTAGGTTTATCATTTTTGGTATCTAGACTTTATTATCATTGGTAGATTTGTTTGTTGATTAGGTTGCACTCTTCCTTTTTTTTTAGATATATATACATATTTTTCCTCTTTCTCATTTTTCTTTTTTTTTTTTTTTGTGGTACACGGGCCTCTCACTGTTGTGGCCTCTCCCGTTGCAGAGCACAGGCTCCAGAGGCGCAGGCTCAGTGGCCATGGCTCATGGGCCCAGCCACTCCATGGCATGTGGGATCTTTCTGGACTGGGGCACGAACCCATGGCCCTGCATCAGCAGGCGGACTCTCAACCACTGCGCCACCAGGGAAGCCTTCCTCTTTCTCTTTTTATGAGTATGTATGTGTTTGCTTCTTTGTGTGATTTTGCTTGTATAGCTTTGATTTTACCACTTGTCCTAGGGTTCTGTCTGTCCTTTTATTTTTATTTTTTTTTAGTATAGATTTTAGTGCTTGTTATCATTGGTGAATTTGTTTTTTGGTTTGGTTTCTCTCTTCTTTCTTTGTTTCTTTCCTTTTTTTATTACTTTTTCATTTTCTCATTTTTAATATTTTAATATTTTTTATTTTTTAATAACTCTCTTTCTTTCTTTCTTTCTCTCTTTCTTTCTTTCTGTCTCTCTTCTGAGCTGTGGGGCTGACAGGGTCTTTGTGCCCCGCCAGGGTGTCAGGCCTGTGCCCCTGAGGTGGGAGAGTTGAGTTCAGGATACTGGTCCACCAGAGACCTCCTGGCTCCACATAATATCAAACGGCAAAAGCTCTCCAAGATATCTCCATCTCAATGCTAAGACCCAGCTCCACCCAACGACCAGCAAGCTACAGTGCTGGGCACCCTATATCACACAACTAGCAAGACAGGAACACAAACTCAGCCATTAGCAGAGAGGTTGCCTAAAATTATAATAAGGTAACAGACAAACCAAAACACATCACCAGACGTGGTCCTGCCCACCAGAAAGACAAGATCCAGCCTCATCCACCAGAACAAAGGCACCAGTCCCATCCACCAGGAAGCCTACAGAACCCAATGAACCAATCTTAGAAACTGGCAGCAGACACCAAAAACAATAGGAACTACAAACCTGCACCCTATGAAAACCCAAACATAGTAGATTAAGCAAAATGAAAAGACAGAGAAACACACAGCAGATGAGGAGCAAGGTAAAAACCCACCACACCAAACAAATGAAGAGGAAATAAGCAGTCTACCTGAAAAAGAATTCAGAGTAATGATAGTAAAGATGGTCCAAAATCTTGGACATAGAATGGAGAAAATATAAGAAACATTTAACAAGGACCTAGAAGAACTAAAGAGCAAACAATGATGAAAAGCACAATAAATGAAATTAAAAATTCTCTAAAAGAAATCAATAGCAGAATAACTGAGGAAGAAGAACGTATAAGTGAACTGGAAGATAAAATAGCAGAAATAAATACCTTATAACAGAAAAAAGAAAAGATGTGAGGACAGTCTCACAGAACTCTGGAACAATATTAAATGCAACAACATTCAAATTATAGGGCTCGCAGAAGAAAAAGAGAGAAACTAAGGGACTGACAAGATATTTAAAGAGATTATAGTTGAAAATTTCCCTAATATGGGAAAGGAAATAGTCAATCAAGTCCAGGAAGCGCAGAGAGTCCCACACAGGATAAATCCAAGGAGAAGCATGCTAACACATGTATTAATCAAACTAACAAAAATTAAATACAAAGAAAAAATATTAAAACAGCAAGGGAAAAACAACAAATAACACACAAGGGAATCCCCATAAGGTAAACAGCTGATCTTTCAGTAGAAACTTTGCAAGCAAGAAGGGAGTGGCAACACATATTTAAAGTGATAAAAGGGAAAAACTAACAACCAAGATTACTCTACCCAGAAAGGATCTCATTCAGATTCGATGGAGAAATTAAAACCTTTACAGACAAGCAAAAGCTAAGAGAATTCAGCACCACAAAACCAGCTTTACAACAAATGCTAAAGGAACTTCTCAAGGCAGGACACACAAGAGAAGGAAAAGACTGACAATAACAAACCCAAAGCACTTAAGAAAATTGTAACAGGAACATACATATCGATAACTACCTTAAATGTAAATGGATTAAATGCTCCAACCGAAAGACATAGACTGGATACAAAAACAAGACCCATATGTATGTTGTCTACAAGAAACCCATTTCAGATCTAGGGACACATACAGACTGAAAATGAGGATATGGAAAAAGATATTCCATGCAAATGGAAATCAAAACAAAGCTGGAATAGCACGTCTCTTATCAGTCAAAATAGACTTTAAAATAAAGACTATTACAAGAGACAAAGAAGGACACTACATAATGATCAAGGGATCAATCCAAGAAGCAGAGATAACAATTGTAAATATTTATGCACCCAACATGGGCACACCTTAATACATAAGGCAAATGCTAACAGCCATAAAAGGGGAAATTGACAGTAACACAATCATCTTACAGGACTTTAACACCCCACTTTCACTAATGGACAGATCATCCAAACTGAAAATAAGTAAGGAAACACAAGCTTTAAATGATACATTAAACAAGACGGACTTAATTAATATTTAAAGGACATTCCATCCAAAAACAACAGAATACACTTTCTTCTCAAGTGCTCATGGAACATTCTCCAGGAAAGATCATATCTTGGGTCAGAAATCAAGCCTTGGTAAATTTAAGAAATTTAAAATCGTATCAAGTATTTTTTCCAAACATAACGCTATGAGACTAGATGACAATTACAGAAAATAACCTGTAAAAAATACAAACACATGGAGGATAAAAAATGCACTACTAAATAACCAAGAGATCACTGAAGAAATCAAAGAGGAAATCAAAAAATAATTAGAAACAAATGACAATGAAAACACGATCCAAAACCTATGGGATGCAGCAAAAGCAGTTCTAAGAGGGAAGTTTATAGCTATACATTCCTACCACAAGAAACAAGAAACATCTCAAATAAAAAACATAAACTTGGACTTCCCTGGTGGTGCAGTGGTTGAGAGTCTGCCTGCCGATGCAGGGAACATGGGTTCATGCCATGGTCCGGGAAGATCCCACATGCTGTGGAGCGGCTGGGCCCGTGAGACATGGCCGATGAGCCTGCATGTCCGGAGCCTGTGCTCCACAATGGGAGAGGCCACAACAGTGAGAGGCCTGCGTACCGTGAAAAAAAACAAAAAAACAAAACAAAAAATACCATAACCTTACACCTATAACAATTAGAGAAAAAGAACAAAATTACCCTAAAGTTAGCAGAAGGAAAGAAATCTTTATGATCAGATCAGAAATAAATGAAAAAAAATGACAGCAAAGATCATAAAACTAAAAGCTGGTTCTTTGAGAAGATAAACAAAATTGATAAACCATTAGCCAGACTTATCAAGAAAAAAAGGGAGAAGACTCAAATCAATAGAATTACAAATGAAAAAGGAGAAGTAAC